TCTTATTATTATTTACATCAAAATATATTTTATGACATTAAAATTCTTTAGGCGAAAGGAACAACTAAGAAATGGACTAGTATGTGAAATTTGGTAAATCTTTTTGTTTTGTTTGTACGTCAAAGTGTTTAGAATTGCAACATCTTTCAACTTTTTCGAATTTATTAAGAAGGTAATTTTATCGTTTTTCAAATCTTATAAAGTACATGTAAAAAAAGTTAAACAAAACCTTCACTTAATTGATTCCACTATCATTTTTATTACCGTTCACTATCACCGTTTATAAACTTTTCTCTGTTTTTACCTGTTCATGTTTCTTATTTTAAAAAAATGTTATTTAGCAAAATTGAATTGTTTTAATAATCGCACCTAAAAAGAAATTTATTTTTCAATAACCTATCCTTTCTTAAATGCACTCTTTTATAAATATTACGAAAGAAGCAATAATATCTGCTACATATTTACTATTTTATATCATACATTATACACATAGAAAATTTATCTGTAACAATAATAATTACTTGTTTTAGGGCCGGTTGTTCCACTTTCAGATAAACTATCTAGTAACTTATCTGATGGATAAATGTCTGTAGAGCGTTGTTCCATTTCTCGGTAAAATTTAACTTCCTGATAAATGGCCTCTATCGACAGATAAATTACACGGTACTTTGGGTACCGTGTAAGACTTATCTGACAGATAAATGCGTAGTGGGATTAGAAATCATACCCCGTCAGCGGGAGATGCGCAGCGCTGATGTATCTGAAGTTTCACACATTTGTATATTAATATTTTGCGATAAAGAATTTGGATATTATCGAACGGACGGTATCGGACGGTATCGAAAATGGAACCAGGATTATGTGAAAATCAATTTCTTTATGGTGACGAAGATGATAACGAAAAATCTGATGAAGAAATACATATAGTAGTGCTTCGCAAGCGATATACAGTTCGTCCACGTCCAGATTTATTTAACGAATATGATAATATAGAATTTGTATAGGATTAATAACCGTGGAACAACGCTCACTAAATAGCTGGTAAACTACCCGGTAAGATTTATTCTATAGGTAGTAATCTGTCGAGATAAGCCGAGATTTATCGAAAGGTAGAACAACCGGCCCTTAATTGAACTATACTTTACATTTGTGCAAAGTTTAATTTGCCAAGAGCTTAAAAAAATTACAAATAAAATATGTAGGTATACCGAAAATATTGCTATTTTAATCAATATATAATATGTAACTGATATATATGTGAAAGCACCTTTGAATCTCATTAATCTCGTTAATGAAAGATTATATAATACATTTATACAGACAATAATATGTGAAATGGAAGATTATATCGAGAAAGCAAAATTAGAAGAAAAGAATGTATATCAGCGATATATTAACAAATCCAAATTATTTTACGCTACGACAATGTGCTTGATAACCGTAACCGGAATCACAGTGCTCTTCGGACCATTATTGCTGTCCCAACCCTTTCCAGTTAAAGTAGAGTATCCATTCGATGTGAACAAACAACCGCTGAAGACTATCATCTACCTGCATCACGCAATGGTTATATATCAAGTAGGTGTGCAAGTATGTGGCAATATATTCGTAGCTCTTCTGCTTTGGTTCGTGGCAGCAAGATTCGAAATCCTGTCCCAGAAATTTCAAAAGATTACAAGCATCTCAGAATTCATAATCTGCGTACAGCTGCATCAACGACTATTACGGTAATTAATATATTACTGCGCAAAGTATCCTTTTTAAAAATAATTACGTTTTGATATATTTATATTAATTTCTAATTAACTCTCACATTACTATAATTAATTGTAGTATAATGTGTATAATAATATAATATTAGAAATTGAGAACGGCAGTAATTAACATCCAATTACAGATATGCAAAAGATGTTACTATGACAGTTCGATACATAGCATTGTCAACGATAGGAATCAGTACCATAGGAGTGGTACTTAGCGGCCTTACTATTTTGAGTGTGAGTTATTTCTATTTTATTTTTCCAGTGTATATACTGTTTAAATATTGTTAAATTAAATAGATTTGTTCGCATAAATATCTTATTGATGATCGCAGAAGCATATGAGCTTTGTATCACAAACACGTCTAATAATATATTTACGTAATTAGTGATGAAATTTATAAACATTTATATAAAGATACTATATTTTAGCACATTACTGAGCACATTACATCATTCATTTAAAAAAAAAAAAAAAATGAAAAATTTAATTAGAATTCTGTTTAAACACTAACTTTTTTCTTTCTATTGTAAATGTAATCTAAATTTGGTTTACGTTGCATTACTTGTGTTAAAATATTATTTTACACAGCGACAACCTTTAACGGTAAAAGCTCAATTTTTTGGCATTGGCGCATCCGCTCTTGTAGAAGTCTTTATCTGCGCATGGCCAGCTGATTATTTATTGCGCACGGTAAGGTACAATAGCACCATAAGAAAAGGCAAAAAAGTAGTTTAATAAAATTGATGTAAAAAGATATCAAAAAAGATATAGATACAAAATGTATATAAATCTCTGAATAAATATATGGATAAACATAATTTCTATATTTAATATAATTTCTATAATTAATAATTGATGTGATCTGTAATCAATTTTCATCTCATGGAAAAAAATATACGTATTATATTGATGACTGTCTTTATCTTGATTTTAAAGAATGTATAATATCTTGTGAGATTAAAATATAAAACTTTAATATTTCAGAGCAACGATGTTGGCCATGCTGGATATGAATCGTCATGGTACAGCAAGGAAGTATCTTTACAGAAGAATTTGTTATATATTGTGTCGCGATGTCAACATCCTGTAACTCTAACTGTACCATGTCTGCTACCTGCTCTTTCACTTAAGTACTATGCCTCTGTAAGTTGTATGTTAAATTATTCACGGCAATTAATCTGACAATGAGTGATTTAGTGATCACATATTAATAATCTTGAACATAATAATTTATGAATTTAATTACTTTTTATCATTTTTTTTAACTTATTAATCTTTTATATCTATATGTAAATTCAAAATAAATAATTAGAGATTAAGACATTATTTGATTGAGATTATTTAATAATTAAGATATTCGTGCAAATTTATAGTAATTTTCAATTATTATTATACATTATTGATATTTACGATCAAAACTATATATTTACATGTGGCAGTATTTGTCAACTACGTTTACCTATTTGACAACCTTTCGAGCAATATTTGCTGTAGAGGATGGGCTGCAAATGTAATCTACTGTGTGTATTATACCTTTTTAATGCAAAAAAAATTTATTAAGCAACACTAGGGGTATTCAAATAAGTTAGAGTTTAACGGTTTGACAGGTTATGTCGGGTTAAGGGGTTACACCACTGTAGAGCACGAAAAAAATAGGCATATTTCGGGAATTTTTTTTTGCGCAATAAAGAGCGATCAATCGAAATTCTGTAAAAT